TGTCCTTTCGCAGCTATGAGAGAGGAGAAAAGAGCTATTGTGGAGGTGATTATGAGACGCATGTTGGGCGAGAGAACAAGTCGAGGAATGATATGGAATCTCACAATTCGAAAGCTTCAATGTGTATACAATGTTTTACGATTGAAATCGGAGAAACACCATCAGAACAAAGGATTCAAACAGCAGAAAAAATCAAGGAGTATAAAGATGAAGGCATATTGAGAATATATACAAACATTTTCCGCATTACCAGTGACAGTCACAATCACGGTGCGTTGCATTAATCCGCGAGATTCATCCCTCTGCTGGGAAACACAATATCAACAAGCTCCTCGATTGGAGGTAAAATTCTTTTCGGAAGGCATTAACTTATTCATCAGATTGCCACATAGAGACGCTTTCCCCATGTTTTCCAGCTTGGATGAGGGTCCTGATGGGGTGATCATTATCTGGGGTAAAAGAAATGTTTTTGCGGATTCGGGCAATGATGCACCGAATGTGGGGGGGGGGGGGGGTTTCTTGACTTTGAGTAATTCGTGGTCATCTGATCGATACTGTAATCACCGCTCATTTGTAATGTGATGTGATGTCTCAAGCCAGCCTTCTTAGATATTGAAGCTATTCCCACATACGAGAAACTTGTTGCTGACCTGACAATTGAATCTTGTTGATTTATAGGTAGGTAGGTAGGTAGGTAGGTAGGGAGATGATGGTACTAACTTTAGTGCCAGTACCTAGATAGCTGTGGTGGGATATGAGGATAATCACCCCACCATAAGCTCTGAATTGTTCAATGGAGCTTCAATCAATGCGTCATCCATCAACTTTCACATCAAACTAAGAGCCAACTGCCAAAATCGAAATCTCGCCACTTGTTGTGTCCATAAAGCTACGGGATATACTCATCTAGCACTCATCTCAACCCGTCAACGACGAGAAATAAATCATTCAAAATAGCTTCCAAAGCCTCGGCACGACTTTTGCGTCTCGCTCGCACCATGTCTACATCAACCACCACTCCAGCATCCATCGGACAGGCTCCATGGCGTCCTCTTTTCCTTTCCCATCTCTCCAAGATGGATTCCCCGGAATTTGTTCTCTCATCATTACAACCAAGTAAGGATAAGGATGCTCCCACCCCTTATCTTCCTCGAGCTCGTTATTGCATCTACAGAGGAATGTGGGCCGAGCTCCCAGAGAACAAACACAATGATGCTCCTATGAACGATCGAGTTTACGAGAGTGATCTTCCAACCTTTACCACAGATGTGCGCATGGAGAAGGTCCCCCAGTTTTTTGCTAGTTCACAGGGTCATGGAGAGGTAGAACAGAGTCAGGGTAGTGGTGGTGGTGGACCTGTTGAAGCAGTTTTCTGGATCAAAGAAGTCATGACTCAATGGAGAGTGAAGGGAGAGGCGTATATCGTAGCTCAAGACATCGAAGGGAGTGGTCAAGAATCAAGTGGAACACGAACTGTAAAGACCAAGATTGGAGAGAGAATGAGAGTTGTGAAGGAAGATGGAAAAGAGGGTTGGAGTTGGGGAAAAGAACTTACTGCACATTTTGGCAATATTAGTCCGGGAATGAGGGGTAAACAAAACATAGATATATATTGGATGACTACTGTGACTGACTTCCCATCTATAGGTTCTTTCAAAAACCCTGTACCCGGAACACCCGTTTCGCAACCACCCAGCGATCCAAATTGGAAATTGGGTCAAAAAGTCACTGATTTGAATGATGAAGCTTCCAGAAAGAATTTCAGGGTTGTGATTATCAAACCTGTGGAGATCGAACAACTTGATTTGAGTGAACCTGATAAAGCAAGGAGATGGAGATTTACTTACGTCGGCCCCGATGGAGATGCTGGAAAGGAAGGAGAGATTATTGGGGAATGGAAGAAGGAGGAGCTTTGGCCCTAAATTATCAATTAGAGCTTCGGCTCGGCAAAATGTCAGTTCGGCAGAGCTTGTACAGTATTGCACGGAGCAGAGCTTCAATCAAAATCTTGGTTTACGTCTTCCTTTCTTCGTTTGTCTTCCGTGAAACTCCATGGAGATCATAACTATCTAAAACTTGGCTTCCTGTGGTTGGTGACTGGGTACGAAATACAATACCTCACAAAACAGCGGTAAGTCTGCCGCACACAATTTCAATTCTCGTAAGCTTTCACATTAGCCGGGATTTTCGTACTTCTTAACCAATTCCAGTCCATTTTTTTTTAACTATCATTTCCCACCATTTTTACCCATGTATGATGTATCAAACGCTCGAGTGGTTTTCTCAATATCCGTGCATCAAAAAAGACGATGGCGGCCGTTTTCTGCGTAAAGCACGTGTGACAAGGAACGGGAAGAGTCAAACTAAAAATCTCTGGTCTTCCCCTGCTGGCCCTGTCCTGGTCGATTAGACTAAAAAAACTAAAAGCCACGAGACATGATGGTGACATTAATGCTTCTAGTCTATTTCTCGAAATGCCTCACCGTCTGAAACGAGCCGGATTGGGTGGAATGGATTCCCCGGGAGGGGTAGAGGAGTTGACAGGATGCCCTATATTGGCAGAGCTTTTTACCCGTTTATTTCTGTAGTCTCTAATGGCTTTTTTTAATTTATGAGAGTGAGATGGATTTTAATACTCATTTCTCGACATAAAGTAGCTAGCTATCACGTAGTGATATTGATTATACAGATAGATCAATGTAACATTGTATTGAGGCTAAAGGACCTAGGTGATGATGTGGTCAAAAGAGTATGTACCACAAACTCGCATGAAAGTTCCAATAGTAGCAATTTGCGAGGTATTCTTCCGCAGTCAACTGAAGGCTTGTGATTTATTCTCCGCGTGAGATCTAACGAGGGGTTGTATTGTGAATAGGAATTTCGCAACGCATCAATGACGAGGGGGGTATAAGCAGAAGATAGGAAATGCATGAAGACAAAGTAGGTAGGTATGTGATATGATGACAATAAGGTTCCGAGGTAAATAGAAAGCCAACATTTGTTTCAAACTATAGATGCAGTAAAAGACGAAGAGGGAAATGGAGACTGGGAGGGGTTTGGTGAGGGTCTGTATTGAACATCTATTTCTTGAATAGGGAAATCTTTTCGTCCACATTAACACGGCAGGATTGATTGTTTGAATAACACGATTAGCAGTTGCTCTGAAAAAAGAAATGGTTGGTTGCAAGGACTGAATACCTATCAGAATGTAAAAATCAAATTATCGATATTCAAAAGACATTTTCCTATAAGGAAACAATCTTCTTCACCAACACTGGCACCGCCGCAGAACCCATAACAAACGATATCAGTTCGTCTGCACATTCCCGAGGTAGAAGTTACATAGATAGCAATATGGCACTATCAGGATGTTATAACGGTACCGACAGCTTGGTCGAAATGGAAAAGTGATACGATATCAAAGACATAACCGCTCGGCGAACTTCTTTTGCTCTGTTGCGTTGTATCATTACGTGTTCTGTGCCATTCTTTGATTTCCCATTTTCGTATTCCGAGATGAAATAATTCGTATATGAAACTTGATGCGCGTTCTGAATACTGATCACGATTCACAACGAAGCTTCAGGGAAGATATGGTCTTGTAAGAGTTCTAACGGCTCGAGCTGTATGTTTCCTCCAATGATAATTTCTCATACCGTTTCTTCTTCTTTGTGCAGGAAGTGCCTCCGTTTAGTTGCATTATTGTTGGCTAATTATGTATAGAAATTAGAAATGAACTAGATGATTCGCTTACTATTTCTAACACTAACAATGAACTTCAATAATGAAGGGGTCCACAGTCTGCAGTCTGCAGATTCAAAAGAATCCCTGAGTATCATTAGCGTTCGAATCTGATGTACTAGGATTAAGTTTAACATGATTTATCAGTACATACACCATATTAGTATATACACCATTATTTTTATATACAAAAAACGATTATATATAATTATACACTTTCTTTATTTATTAATATAATTTAATTTTTTCTTATATATATTATATTTACTTATATAAATAATGTAAAAATTAATTAAAATAGTAAAATTTTATAATAATAAAAAAGTTGTTTAAAGAAATAGATTTTTATAATACAAAGTATAACATTCTTAAACTACAATTAAAATATCTATAAAAAAATCATATTTTATAAATATTTTATTTTTATTATTTATAAGGAAACTTTTTCAAAGAAAAAATAATAATTAATGATTTAAATAAAAATATTAATAAAAGACTAATTTTAATGTATTTTGAAGTAATGCACATACTGATATAGTGTATGTACTGATAAACCACGTTACGCCATTTCATTGAAGACAGCTTATCACTTCCTCTGCCCTTGATTTCGACACCTTACCATACATTTCATACCACACCCACCAACCACACTTATACATACTCTCCAGGTCGGTCTGCATCGAAGTGAAAAAAGAAAAGTAAAAATAATTAAACAAAACAAAATATCACACAGAATCTTCTCACTATCCTATGTAAGGTTACAAGTAAGTTGAACTATAGTTTCATGCAATAATATTCTCATAGATATAGGTCGGTATCCGCATCCTCTCATAAACGCCTGTTCAAACTTGCATGCAAGTAGTGTGAGCAGTTAGTCCGAGATACATATTGGATCAAATTGGATACTCCATATCTATATCCTTCATTTACAGATCACGCTCCTGGTTAATAAAGTCCTTCAGGTATTGTAATTGAAGAAAAGGGATAAGAATCACTTTACTTCAATCTCCTTTCCTATACTCCACGCAGAGAGTCGCACGCATTGTCCAACTGATTCTTTACTTGTTCCCCATTATGACGCAGTGATGATGGTACTAGTATGATGTCCATTGACTTCCTAACTACCTACCTCGAAGCTTTCAATCCTCGAATCAGACAAAATATATTCTTCACCACAACCGTTATACTTCAAACAATACTATCCACACCCAAAACGCTCTTACCAAATCATTTTTAACTTACATTGATCTGAATTCAGCATGACGACATTTTCGACATTGGATGCGTTGATGAGTCTAACCCAATCCATCCCGGATTGGAACAAACGTCTAGACGACTTGAACGGCCAAATAGCTTTACGACAAATCGAGCTTGCCCGCTTGACCGATCAGAAACCTGCACGCTCCGTGAAAAATAAAGGGTCAACCGAATCACTCCGACCCAAGGATGGCGAAGAAGCCATCACCGAATCCGAAAAGCCCAAGCAAACCCCCTCCTCTCCCATCGGCTCCCCCAAATCCGCACAAAATGGTTTCTCCTCCGACGCCCGACCCAATTCTCCATCCGTAGCTCGAGCTGCTGCCGCCGCCGCCCTCGAATACAACCAATCCCCCTCTCAAGCGGCCCCCCAATCGCCCGAGCCCCTTACACCCCGAGCATCTCCCAACGCTCTAACTCGGCAATCCTCGCAACCTACACCCCCCACCGAACCCCTCCCACGAGCCCCTGCCGTCCTTCGAAAACGCAAAACAGAATCCCTCGCATCGGGAAACTCACACGCTCCAAAATACAGAACCAGATCTATGATCATAGTATACTACGACAGCGCGGTGCAGACCGCATTTGAAGAACTCGTCAAATTTGTAAGCGGAAATCGGAATGCCATGCGAAAGGGGAAAATGGCCGCCAAGATGGCCGAAATGCGACGCGCGGCTGAAATGGAAGCCGAGGAAGAAAGCGACGATGAATCCGAATCCGAGGCGTCAAAAGTCCTGGGTAGTGCGTTACTCAAGCCTTCGTTGCAATCTGACGCAACTCCAAATGGTACGAATGGAGATACTCCCTCGGGAACAAAACTCAACTTCCCATCGTCGAGAAAGATGGGGTCGACGCGCGATCGCAAGAATATCGGAAATACGATGAATGTATTGCGAGGGTATCGTCGCGCGGGCGGGGGCAGTGAAGGAGCGGGAAATTCTCCGAATATATTCGATGAGCTGGATAAGGGCCTTGAATGGTGTCAGGGACAGTGCGAACATGCTGCTCACCAATTTCTGCGCGATGGGGAGTGCAGCACCGAGATTGAGAATATTAAGAGGAGATTGGGGGAGGTGAGAGAGATTGCCAAGAGGAAGATTGGGAAGTTGAGAGAGGAGGAAGCGCTGCAATTGGAATTGGAGAGGGAGAGGGAAAAGAAAAATGAAAATGAGGTTTCGAAAGAGGAGTCACTTGTTAATACATCGAAATCTAACCCAGCAATTACCCCGGTCTCTAATGGACCAGTAGAGTTGGAGGTCGATGATGCGATGGAAGTGGATGATGATGATGGTGATGGTGATGATAATAATGACGGTTTTGATCCGAGGAAATTGATCTTTAAGCGATCCGGGGATAGGATGCCTTGAAGATATGGATTTGCATGGTAAATTTCTCGAGAAACATAAATATTGGAGTTTTACTCTCTGGAAATGAACCCTTGAATTAGATTATTGGGCCGGCGTAAGGATTGCTTCTTACCTACTAGGTACCTACCGCATGGAATATATGGCGTGAAAAAGTATGGGGATGGGATTGCAAAGGTTGAGCATTCTCGACGGTGCGTAGCATGGATGGTCTAGATCGAGGCTTGGAATATAGTCTTGTGAGTTGGAGGGATGGATCTGGTGAATATGTGAATGACTAGGAATTCATTAGGGTTTGCATTAGGATGGAAAAGCCATTGGTCTTTTACATAAATAAGAAGGGCGTGGAATATATTTGGATATAATCTAATATATCAATCTCATTGATCATATCATATCACGTTTCATCTCATCTTATGGTATAGCCACTGCGTATTTCTTGTGCAGTATAAAGCAGGGCAATGCTCATTCGTCTATTCTTATACGTGTATATCATTCGTGGTATCATACACAAGGTCTGTTGGTAGCTAGGTGACTTTTCATCTCCTAACTTCCATACACCCTAATGTTCTCGATTTGCAACTTGTCGTTTGGATTGCTTGTACACTTTATCTAATGATAGCTCCAGCCAAAGACTTAACCTTGCAAACACCACCACCGACAGTAACCAATTTTCCAACACCAGTCTTGGCATCTTCTCCTTCCTTATTCAACTCCTTTACAACACCCGCATCAAAAGCAGCTTCCAAATCTGCAGTTGTGGTGAAACCCGGTTGGATCATCTCCCAAACCTTCTTCTTTGGGTTCAAAACACCCTCGGGTTCTCCCTGCCATCCCTCGAAGAAAACTCGTTCTCCAGCTTTAGCTTCAGCTGGTGGAGTAACGAGTTCGACTGGGCCGGCGTGGTGATCTTCTTCTCCTTCCTTGAGTTTGGGAGAGGCGGCTAAGACCATAGCGCATGATTTGATACCACGCATCTTGACGGGTTTAAGGTTGCACACAACTACTACCTTACGACCTTGCATTTCTTCGAGTGGAACGAGACCGTTAAGTCCAGAACAAACAGTTCGCACAACTTGTCCTTCGTATTCAGATGTATCATCTGTTCCGGGCTTGTCACCCATAGCAATGGTGGAAACAAAGAGAGAATCGGCTTCGGGATGCTTGATAGCTTTGAGGATATGACCAACACGGAGATCGATCAAACATGGAGAAAGAGGAGCAGATGGAGCAGGCGCCTTTTGAGGTTTGGGAGCCTTCTCTTTCTTCTCCTTCTTTTGTCTAGGAAATTGTGGTTGTTCGCCTGTTACAGCAGCAACAATTGTATCTTTTGCCTCTGTAACCTTCTCGGCGACTTGAGCTACCACTCCCTTGTCACTCTTTTCCTTGCTTCGATCTGCCAATTCTTTTTGTTCACCTCCTGCGGCGGCAGCAGCAGCGGCTGCTTTCTCTTTCTTCAATCGTTCCTTCTCGGCCTTGGCATCAACAGGAGGCTTAACATATAAGATCTCCTCAGCATCGACCTTCACTTTCTTCCCTTCCTCAATATTCAATCCAAAAATCGGCGAGTTCTGCACAAAATCCACATGACGCACAATATTCGGATGACCCTTCTCACCCGTTCGTTCCTCGCTACTCCATTTCGCAACCTGCGGTGCCAAACTCTCGTAGATAGCAATGTCAGCAGACGAAGGCTTGGAGCCGAGGAGAGTGGTGCGGGATGCTAAATGCGTGTTGAGAGAATCGAGGAGAGAGGGGGTTTCGGAGCTGGAGGTCTTGAGTCGCTCGGAGGTGAGCGTCCATTGTTTGAGCTCGGTTTCCTCGGCGGGGGTGTATTTGATTGAGGTGAAGTTGGCCATGGTTCGGGAGAATCGAATGTTTGCCCTGAGGATGGCGCGGGTGATGAGGCGTGGAGAATACAGTTTGGATAGCGGGTTGGAGGGGTTGTGAGGGTGGTTTGCTGGGTTGGGGTTTTTGAGTCATTCGTTAAGGGAAATTTCTTTTACCCCACCATTCTTTATCGTTTTATGATAGCTTGATAGGCACTCGCTTCGCTCTGCGTAGGAGAAAAAAGAGACACGCTCTACATCGGCGAAATAACAGGTGGGAATTGATCATCATCTGAAAGAACTTCATTAATTCAAGTCTCTTTTCGATATAATATCAAAGAATGAAAACACTTATGAATAATACAAAGAAGACTCAAATTTTTGTTTAGTCTTCTCAGAATTGGATATTTATTTTTGAATTGAATTAAAATTCAATAAATAGGTGATTCTGAAATAGGCTCAAAAAGACTAATTTCCGCTTGTTTTTTCGCTTATGTAGAGGCGCGGTTAATCATTTTTAAATGCTTTTAATAATTCAACTTTTTCCTTTGAATAGAGAACTAAATATGTGTTTTGATAGTAATAAATATTATTACAAAGTGAAAACTCCTTCAATGTGTTCAGATTTATTTGTTTTACTTGCGGTTGATTTACAATTCAATTAATTGGACGATTCTGATAGAGAATTGAATGATTAATTGCGCCCTCTTTTTTCTCCTATGTAGACACTCTCAATACTCATGCCTCGACGTATATATTAGACGAGACAAAAGATACATCAAAAAACAATAACTTATCTGTGCCATTCTTTTCAATAATCACTTCAATTCAGATAATCCTCCTTTCAATCTAACAATCAAATCAAATATAACCATTAAAAACTCATATTCCTCATTCCCTCTCTCTCTGTCTCTGTCTCTGTCTCTATCTTCTCGATATTCAAGTGGATATCGATATAGACCTCCCTATCTCACCTATCATATATCAAATTCTTTAGTAGCCTATTTATTCTTAATGTCTCTTTCAAAAATATAAGAAGAGATCTTTAAAGAAACATTAAAAAGATTTTCAAGGGGAGTTAGAATTTATATCTCAATTTTTATTACAAAATCCTTGACACATTTTTTCAATCTATTTTTGTTTGGTTAGTAATTCCAAAAATCCTAAAAACTGAAGAAGCTTACTTTTTGACTTTTGGGGAAAGACCTGTATTGTGTGTGTGTAGCATAATGTATTAAGGAATTGATTGAGTGCGAATTTTTCGTCTATCTGGAGATACTCATTTCCTTACAATCCAAAAGTATGAAGCCTACCTACCTATATTCTCACAGATATCTATTTAAACTTCATTCATTTATATCTCAAATTCAAATCCAACCCACAAAAACATCTCAAATCGAAGTCCCAAGTCCAGTTGAGAGGAGAAAATCGATAACATACAACCTCATAATAGAGTCCATGAAAGCTAGTTTCGAATTGTTCACTTTATTTTATTCTGCATCATATCTACGAGTACATGAGTTTTCTTGTTATGATATTAAGATTTAGAGGTTTGATGTATATATTCGTTGAAGTGTTTTCACTCTTCGGTATGTAATATATCATGATATCGCAGGTGCATATATCCAAGTTTATTACTGTACTTTACCCTAGTCAATCAGGAATAGCATGAATAACACCCCCATCCATCCATCCATCCATCCATCCATATACACACACACACCCCACAACTTCTCAATCTCACCCTTCAAAACCAGAAGATTCCACACCTACACCTTTGAATACCTACCCCCAATATTCAATAAAAACTAGATATGAATAAATACCCCCGCTATATATACTACTAACAATAGATAACATTACTTGAGTAGTGACCTCATATATACCACATTCTCTCACTAGCAGAAATCATTTCTTAATCTCAAATCTCAGATCTCAACCCTCGACTTGCATACTGCATAGTGCTATATAGTGCGCTGTATAATTCATAGTTCCCGGTTCCTAAACGATAAGAGATATGAGATACAAGGAGAGAGGATTTGTTTACTTGCTTGAGTATGAGTATGAGTATGAGTATGAGTATGAGTGTAAGTATGAGTGTAAGTATGAGTGTAAGTATGAGTGTAAGTATGAGTGTAAGTATGAGTGTGAATGTAAATGTGAGTATGAGTATGAGTATGAGTATGAGTATAAATCTAAATCTAAATCTACCTCTAAATATAGTACAAGTACAGCCACCATACATCTAAATCTCAATCCTAATTTCAACTTCATCTAATCTAAATTCGATTTCCGATTTCCTATTTCCCCTTCTTTACTTCATAACAATTAGACAATATATTATAAAAAGAAGACTTAATGTATGAGTGGATATATACATATATATTTATCTAATACATTATATACCTGCCTTGTTAACATCATACTTGCGGTCTATCTATCTCGCCTGTGCTCTATGAGATGGAATCTATAAATTGTTATGAAACTCGAGATGGCTGTGGTTGATTGATCTATATTTGTATATTGGAGTGTTGTTTGAACTTTGAAAGTTTATTAGAAGGGTTAGATTACTATTCTGGGTTGAATTGTTAGCTATGGGGTTGATAGATCGTGTTGATAGATCATGTTTGTAGATCATGTTTGTAGATCATGCCAATCAAGAGATAGATGAGCAGACATAATCAGGTAAATTTTCCATTCCCAAAACAATGTAACAAGCGTTAAATATTCCATTTCCAATCTCCCAGCTTGAAATAGCAAAAGACATACACACCCTCATCCCCCAATACATACATACACTCATCTCTTCATACTCATGTCCATTCCATCCCATCCTTCTAAACAAGCAACGTTCCATACAATCCCGCATCCTCCACTCTCGCACCATCCATTTCCCCCTTCACACCCAACAGTTTCACATTTCCCCATTTCGCCAGGAAAGATTGAATCTGATCCATCGTCTCCTGATCATCCCTAACCAATAGCACAATCGCATCATAGCCTCCTGCACCAGGAACCACACCTCCAATCACCCCCTCCACATTCTCAATGACGTCATCTAGCAATTTCGTTTGCTCTTCCGGTTCAATGGGAACTCCCGAAAGGCTACCCATCTCTCTAATCTTTTCTCGAATAGCCGAGAAAGCAGGGCCGGCTGCACTAATATCATTACCC